CGAATAACATATATATGTACAAATGTTAGCTGTAGGTATGACCAATGTGTCAGTGAGAGCATTCAATGCTTACTTGTATGCATTATACATCCAACATAAAATGTTACTATAAAATAGTGAGTAACATATACATATGTACAAGTTTTATCTGTAGGTTTGACCAATGCGTAAGTGACTACTGACAGTGCTTTCTTGTGCATATGAACGGTATCTGTTAAGTGAATATCCATCCAGTTTGCGTTTGATGGAGTGGAACCGGTCAACCTTACACCTTTCAACGGCATCTTTGATGTGTGTGCGTACAAAGGACTTCGAATAACCATTGGCCTCAAATAGGGCGTGTACGTACTTCGTCTACTCTAACCTCTTATTGTCGTCACTACAGTGTGTTTGAGTGCGTTTAAGGAGAGTTCTGTCGCAACTGCATTTGTCTTCCTGTTCACCTCTATCCCACCTGACCTGGTCATAAACACTATCGACTGCCTTCTTCGCAAAAAAAAACTATGGGGAGACTGAACAAACACCTAGGCGGGTACACATTAGCGAGCTCCGAGCACTGTGTGCTTTCAGACTTTCTTCACATTCAGTAGCCAAGTTTACGACCAAAAGAAGAGGACGCCGATGGGCTCGCCTCTGTCTGGACTAACTGCCGGAGCCGTTTCGTAAAGGCTCCTACCCTCGAAGTTCTGGGCCAAATATGTTGACGACACATTTGTCATAATAAAGAGGAGATACGTGCAGACTTTCAAGACATTGCTAAATTCCATATTTTGGGACATACAGTTTGCCATGGAAGAAGAAGCCAACAATAAGTTACTCTTTATCGACGTAACAGGCGAACAGGAAGATAAGGACGACGGTCTATCGTTAGCCGACCAACACTACGCATCTCCTCCATTTCAAAAGTAACCATCTTGTCGGTCGCAAACGCAGTTGCGTCAGAACTCTCTTCCAAAGGGTTCAAACACACTGCAGCGATTACGATGGATGGGAAGGAGAAGGGGAAACATCTAAATGGCCTACTTAAGGAGATCTGGCTAGAGCAACTTCAATGAAGAAAATGAGAAAACAGGAGCTTACAGTTCTGGTCGGAGTCTTCAATTAGAATGCGCAACTTTTGAACACAGAGCTGAAAATAAAAGAAAAAGAGAATGCGGTTGTTAAAAAATGCACAAGGAAAAACAGTATGCACTGTGAAAAGCTGACTAAAATGAGACTTTAAATGATTGCGGTGTGTCGGTAAAAAAATGCCAGCGTTTGCAACCTTTTCTGTGTCCTAGAAATAACGCGTTTTGGAGGAGCGAACAATAAAATGAAACTACTGCATTTAAACAACCAAACGCCAAAACAGCTACAAATTCAGTTGTGTATGGGGCGCTCTGTTAGCGTATTCAGGTGCCCTACAGTGAACTGGACAACAAAATGGCCAGATGACAATAAACTTGAGGAGTGCTCAGAACAACAGCCACTAATTCTAGTACAGTAGTCGCCGGTTATTAAGCCCACGGTTAATAGGCCCAGTCGCTTATT